TAAATATTGGTAAATTGGTTTAATAGCTCTTTGAATTTCGTCCGAAAGGGGTAGTCTCTTGTGCTTAAAACTGTCTAAACTATATTCGTTTCTGCATGGCGCCATTTACACCAGGCGGATAATAATGGTGTTGAGGATTGCTGTTTCATTGCAAGCTTCTTGTTGCTACGCCATAATAAGTAGTTAGGTCACTGATCACTTTTGTAGTGGCTGGGGATGAACGACCGAAAAGACAAATAGTCAAAAAGACCCTTCGAAATCCGAGAAGGCAAGTTATAAATACATACAATAGAGCCGAGTGGCATGTAATTCAGCATATGCACGATAAAAACGGTAATATCTTTCTTGGACGCCAAAACACGAGTGATAATTCTGCAGTTGGATATTAACCGGGTCGTTTAATATCCAGGTAATACTTATTTAGAAATTCTCTTTCCTATTCGCCGACTTTTATGGGCAGGACAACTATCTCGATGGAACTAGATACTTTATAAATCAATCCTTCGTAATCGATAAAGAATGAGAATAATACGAATAACATGTGTGATAGATATTTTTCATTTTAAATTTAATTCTACAGAAATGTATTTTATATGGTCATTATAAGTTTTTATAATTCTTCAGTATCATCAGTCAATCTGAATAATTATGTTAATTTTTGGTAATTCTTTTATTACCAAACTTCATAGATATGTTACATATGTACATAGATGCGACTGTAGCATACTTTGTTAACTTTGTCATATTATCTTCTGGAGTTAATATGATCATTATGTCACATATATTCATTCCCCTTGGATTTCCTCCCACTAGATCAAAACCGCTTTCACAATCACGAAGAAAGCAATTATTTCTCCTTTATATGCAGTTTTAATCTCGGTTATTCTTCGGTTTTATATCTCGGAATTAAAGCTCCCAATCTCATCCTAAACTTTGTCTCATCACTTTTGATTTACTAAATTCATGCTATAGTCTCAGACTATTTAGATATGTGTATCGGTACATCTTGTAAAAATGTAACTAAAATGTGATTAAATAAAACCTACTAAAACGCGCCAAAGAAAATTTTGTGATTACTTAAAATTATTACCATGATTTTACGCACTAACCAATTTAACAGCTTAATGTACTCTTTACGTTATCTGAACCCAAAATTGATATTTCAGGAATAAATCTTTAAATTCGTGTTGTAATTGTAATCACGTATTCCAGGCATTTTACACTGTAATTTCGGATGCTTCGTGATCTCCTGAAAAGATATGTTTCAACGCCGCGTTACTTCTTGTTGGTTATTGAATGATACTGTTTCATCAGTAATCCAAAATAATACAAAATCAACAACTGCGACAACTTAATAAAATTATATCTTAAAACTTAATTTTAACGATTCGCCAAAAGGGACTAAGTCAGTTCATATGAATGAACCATGAGTAACTGTTTTTCATCAGCCCCTGAAGAATACAAGAAACTAGAAACTAAACGTAATTATACTAATAAATAAATGTAATAACAAAATAATAATGATAATAAAATTAATAGTAGCAAGAAAACAGAAAAGAGTAAAAAGGCCAAAAAGTAAAAGAACAAAGAAGCATAAAACAGAAAAAAGGAATTGAAAAGATATAACAGTGGGAAACACAAGAGCACAAGAAGAAATATGCAAAGAAAAAGTAGGACATGTGAACATGAAAGCTATTGTAACTGCTGAAGAAGCAAATATCCCTTAAAAGCCGCTTTAAGCCAAACTCACCACGCTGTTTGATATGCAATGGGATACCGTTATAAACCTTACATATATTGTACGAAAAAGACCGCTTAAAAAGCTGAGAATGATATGCAGATATCGTAAGAGTGCTCTCTAAGAGATGTCTTATATTTAGGTTGTGTATATCACATCGGAAACGAATTTTATGCCATAAATATGGAGCAGACTTATTCAAAATTACTCGATGGAAAAGGCATTATGAATGCAAAATTCTTCGACGTCCCATATTAAGCCAGTTAACCCAGCCGAGTGTATGTGAAATATGTTCACACCGCTTTATTCCATAAATAATACGGAAGCAGGGGTTCTGAACACACTGAATACGATTAGAAGTAACCGAATCAATACAAGAATCATACAAGGTATCACCTAAATTGAATACAGACAACACTAATGCTTCACACAATTGAACTTTTAATCTCAGGTTGAGTAAGCATCGATTGCTGTAAAAAAGTTTTTATTCCTAGCACCATGCTCATGAATATCTGCATGTACCGCCAAATGTCCCCTGTTATCAAAAGCATACAGAGCGCATTCGAGAATAAAAAGTGAGGGTAGAGTTAAAATCTTTAATCTATTAAAAACAGCTCGGCAGTCTTCTGTGTACAGCATATGTACAGCACAGTGTCTCAGAACATCGACTAGGTTACTGGTATAAATTAAGTACAACAGAGGCCCTAAAACAAATCCTTGAAGGGTACTAGATATAACAACTGCATAATCGGAATGGAATCCATTTAGAGTAACCACCTGCCCACAATGAAGCAGATAGTATTCAAAGTAGTGAAGAATAGCGAGAAGGGTCCTATGATGTACAATATCAAATGCTTTTGAGAAATCTAAAAGAATAAGGACAGACGCAGATTTATTGTCAAATTAATTGGTTTACCTGTATTAATCAGTAAACAATCTTGGTTTTTCCATAATTTTTCTTTAACTCGAATTTATTCTGCTCTTTAATGATTTATTATTCTAATCTTTATTCTTAGAGTCTAAACACTTTTAATTTATATTTGATGGGTTGTTAGGGTCAATTTTGTTTAGAGTCGGATGTGGTTTGACCCTTCTGACACCCAAATGATTCATTCTATTTATATTAAACCTTATAAGATATTTATAAAGAACGTGTCCAAATAGAAAACCTTGCCTTGCACTTAGCTGTTTTTCTACGATTCGATTTTCACGGTTCCTCACTTCTTTAACATCGAACAATTTCTATCCTTCACCGTTCTTGACGCTATTTATTGAAACAATCTTCTCTTAAGATCTTCAATGTCCTTAGTATAGATAGCCCACAGGATTCTTCTTAACATTACTTTTCAATATTATTGTTTTGAAATTTTAACTTTCGCTGTTTTAACTTTTTCCTTCGCTTCTTCTCTTCCCTACTTGATTAAATGCCTTTTTGATCTTACTAAACTCAACACAAGTCGATACTATTTCACTAGATATGACTGCTTTCATGACGGTTCAGCTCAACGAGTGTTTGAGGTAAATGGGTGATCTTCTTGTGATTACAAATGCGAAATGATTACATCAGCCGTTATTCAAATCAGCTTATATACAGTACTGCTCAAAACTGTATCATATTTTTGTTTTCTGTGTGTAACTTTTTTCCTACTTAATTTTTTGATCCAAAATTTTCACACAGTATTTCTGAGCATGTTCTGCATGTTCAGCAGGTTCTGTGTATCGAACACACACCACTTTTCATAAACAAAATAATTTATCAAATTTACGCAAAATGACAAATCCAACAATCATGAAAATACAAGATATTTGCAAAAGCTCTGAACTCTGCAATACTCAGTAAAAATTTTATGTGAACATCAACTTAATACTTACTGGAATATCCCATGATATCGATGACAATCATGCATCTATGAAGCATGGAATCGATCAAAGAGCCTGATCGATCTTCGCCCACTCCACCAGCAGCTGCCGGGACATCAGCAAATATGCTCCGACCGCCCTTCAGCTTGAACCTTAGAGTGTCCAAGAGCAGTTCGATGATGTTGAGGTCTGGAGTCTGGCTGGGCCAGTTCATTACAGTCATTTAACGCTGCGCGAACCAGTTGGCCACGTCCTTGGAACGATGTTTCCGGGTCGTTGTCTTGTTAGAACACCCAATCCCAACCTATGTTTTTACGTGTCCAGAGAAGCATATTATTCTCTAGAATGATCATGTACACGTAGCGGTCCATTGCCATTGTCCTTCGCCATCTTATCACGAGGAATCATAGGCGCAATGAACACACAATGACTGAGAGAGACAACTTAATATATCACCAATATGGCATCAGATTTGGCGGGTTACCGCCAGTGTCACTTCTGGTTATTCTGTGGTTGAAGCACCCTTACACCATGACGATTCCACCGCCGTGGTTCATGGTGGGCAATTGGTACTTGGGGTCGAAGTGAGTGCCAGAGGGACGGCGTATCAGTTCTAAACATCAGGAACTTGCTCTCGTCTCAACGAGTCTAGCAGCATTCAGCCTTCTCTTAATCGTCGCCACAGATGGCTGATGCTGCCTCGTGTGCCATAATTCACATCCAATATTCACTGCGCTGAGCTTGGGATTTGCTCTTGCTCAGCCGTACGACATTCCTTTCCTCGTAGAGAGTGGCAACTCTTGGTCTTTCTGGACATTTCTTCCTCACAAAGCCTTCCTGAGTTCGCCAATTCTTAAGAACTCTGGATACAGCAGACAGGGTGGTCGAAAACTGCGCTGCTAGTTGTGTCTTTGTCATCTTCTGACGACGGCATTCTACAAACACCTTCTGCATCGCTTCATACAAATCACGAGTACTCTCGACTGCCCATGCCAGTAAATATAGGAAAATAAATTTAAAAATATTTCGATTTTTCACCTCAAATTTTGTTACTCTTGTGATCATATAGCAGCTTTAAGCTGAGAAATATTGGGTGAAAAATGAGTTTGATTGGTGTAACCACAAATAAGTTGTGCCAAATACTTCAAAATTTGATACGCTTATGAGCGGTATTTTACTTCATCAGATTTTTTTTTAAATCCATATTAAAACCATCGGAATTGCAATCGCCGTTGCACTCATCCATTAAATTGGGTCATTTTTAGAGAATTCACTTCAAAACTAAGCTGAAATGTGTAATCTAAACAAATCAATAGGTAATTTGAAAATTATTTAGCAAGTTCGAAAGAAAATATTTACGCTTGAAAAACGTATAATATTTATAATAATAATATAATTTTAGCCTGGAGAAGATGGAATGGGATCAGACGTAGGAGCATTTCTTGGAGGTTTAGTTGGAGCATTTATTCAAGGAGTAGCAAGGCCACCTGGAGCAGTAAAATTTTTTTAATCAATTACTTTTACTTTTAGTAATTTTCCCGTTAATTTTTAGAAAGGATCCGGAATATTGGCTGGCAACCTAGTGGCACAAATCCTACCTGCATTAAGTGCTCCGGTAATTTTCCTCTCATAATTAAATTTCAATAAATAACTCACACAATTTACGGCAAAAAGAGGAAATCGATGTGATTCTAAATTGCCAAATCACCGCGTTTTAGATAATCACCAATCAAAAAGTAAGAAATTTAATTTTTAGGCGCCAATGGGTGAAGCAACTGAGCAACCTCCAAAGCAACCGAATTTAGATATTGGAAGTTTCTTAGGGGGATTTATTAAAACATTTTTAGGGGCAAGTGGAAATAATAATAATAATAATGGAAATGGTCAAGTAAGTAAAAACAAAATTACTTTTAAATTATTAATATAATTACTTAATTTGTTACTAAGTATACAAGAAATTAATGATTGCATAAAATCTTAATGTCTTTAATTACAACCCAAATTTCTCTTTCTAATTGGAGAGATTATTTTAAATCGATTATGTAAGAAGCAACTAACATTATTTTTCAGGCTCATCCATTTGCCAATATTAAACAAACTCTTTTCAAATCAGTTTTTTCTGGAATTTCATCGATTTTTGTAAAACCATCTGGGGCAAGTTCAAATAACAAATGGAAATAGAAAATGAATCAATGCAGAAATGGAATAGTAAAAACTAAAAGGACTTAACAACGGTACCACTCGTCGTCTTGGGTTTACTTTCACTGCACAACTAAAAAAATGATTTTGCTTTACCACATTAGGTTACATAAACCGACGACATAGTTTCTTTTACAACTGAGCTAAATTCGATACCATCTTTATGCGTCTAATGTAATTCGTTGTATTTCTTGCGTAATAACGCTCTATTAAAACCACAAACACAAAACAATGTACTATTATGGACCATAAAAAAATGTATCATTGTGTATCATGTTGAACTACAATTAAATTGATAAATTTACTTTACGAGCGCGTAAATGGTTTTTAATTTTTTCTTATTGTCCAATTACCCAACTTTCGAACGAAATATGTACATGATTGTTCTAGAGAATTATTATTTTAGGTTGAAACACACCCACTACAATTTGCGAAAAAGGAAAGCTTTCTATGTTCAACTTGAACGATTGGTTTAAAATATTTCAAAATTATAGACACTCGAATCAAGATTAAGTAGAATTGTAACTTAATCTTAAAAATATTATTTTATTAGTTTTGAAAAACAATCTAAGATTATATTTTGACAAAACTTAAAATTAAAGTTATTAAAAAGTCAAATTCTGAAATAAAATAGTTTATGGACGATTAAGTAAATGAAATCATTATGTAATATATGAATTAGTAGAAATGTCTTTATTAAATCATTAAAATCTCATTTGGATATTTGAACTATTTTAAAACACGCTATTTTTTAATCCATCGTGTGTTTAGCGTTAGTAAATTAGTTACCAAATATTAAATTATGAACAACCTATAATCAGATAACCTGTGATTATTGTGAGGAGTTGAAACTTCTTTCTTTGAAGAACCTTAGAAATCTTCGACAATTTCCAATTCCAGTATTTCGAGATAATGCCAAATTATTGTATAACGGAAGCTTGTTTGATGTAAAATGACAAACCAAACTCGATGCCGAAGATCACCAAACTCTCAAGTTCATTAATGAGATACTTTTGAAGCTGTTGTTCCGCTGTAATTAATATTCGCTTGCGTCCATTTTCAACGAAAAAGACTTCCTCGAGTCTTCCCAGGATTTTGTATGTTAATTAAATTATCAGTTTGCAACTCACAAATGTAAATAATTGGATATACATTTTAAATACAACAAAAGAACGCATTAAAGTAGTGAAAATTCATTAACAACGGTGCAAATTAGTTACTGAACTCAGCACTTCTACTTGTAGCTGCAAGTGTGATAAAAATCCAGGTTTCTCCGTTCTAAGAGTTTTTCTGCTCGCAAGTGTTCGGAATATTAAAAATTAGTTTTTTACACTAAAATTTTGCTCTGTAAGCTTATATAGTTGAGCAAAAAATAGTTAATGCCTTAAATTGCTCAAATACAAACGCTGCACATCCTTTTGTAGAGTCAATTTTATTCATGACGGAACCTTGATTTTGGTTAAGGATGGTGTTAAGTATAGGGAAATCAATTCAGTGAATCGTCTATCGCGAGAGATTCATTTTAAAGCGATGATGCAGCTGCATGAATTAGGCATTGTTGTTGTGACACATCGGAGGATGATTATGGCGGGTGATTTTAATGATTATTTTTGGTCAGGCAACAAAAGAGTTGAGTTACTTATTGACACCTTCGCTACTTTTGGTTTTTTCCCATCGCTGCTCGATACTTCAACCAGGGGTTTGAACTGTTTGGATAATGTTTTTATTAATTTTAATGATGAACCTGTTAACGTGAATGTGGGGGCCAAATGCTCTGATCACTGCAGCATGTACTTGCAGGCCGGTCAAATGCAGGCCAATTATGAGTCATGAAAAGATGTTGTTTTATAACTCTGTATATGATATAAATTGGGATTTCATCGCATGATATCGCATGATGATTTGACTACCAATCAAAAGCTTGATATATTTCATGAACTTCATCCTTCATGCATTTCATAGTACATTACCGGAAAAATAATTGTGCAAAGTAATAAGAAATGCACAAGCTGATTTTCTGAAGATTTCAAGGGCATGAGCAATCGCCTGCATTTCTTAAGAGATACTCACAATGCCACAGGTTGTGAGAAACTAAAGCGCGAACTTAACTTTCTGACAAAAAATTATAGAGATAAGATAAAAGATGCTAAAGTTGGATATAATGATGAAATTTTAAACCAAAAAAAATATTTATGTAAGTATATGTGGAAAATAGTGAACAATCATCGAATAAGCAATAAAAGTAATACTAAAGCAATGTTGACCGAAATGAAGTAAATGATTACTTTATAAATGTTCCCCTAGATCTTGTTAATAAAATTCTACGCGGTAAGTTGGCAACTAACTTTAATCAGCTGCTATCGAATATCACAGTACCACCTGGGAAATTCTGTCTGAAGCCTGAATTCTGCCTGAAGGTTTAATTGAGGTTCGTGATATCTGTTTTTTAAAACATACTTCTTCTGGGGATGTATACAGATTAAATGCTGAAATATTAAAGCTAATAAAAGATGTAATATCATCGCCTTTAACAAAATTAATCAACCAATGCATGAGAGAAAATACTTTTCCAAATGCTTTAAAGTTAGCATCGGTAACTCCTGTCTTTAAGAAAGGCGATTAACGCGTTATGCGACCTCAGCAAGGCCTTCGATTGTATGAACCATAATTTATTAATAAAGAAGCTGATTAGATATAAGTTTGGCGACAGTAGTATAAAGATGATTTTAATCGTACCTTATCGGCAGAAGACAAATAGTCTGTGTAATGATACTTATTGTACATCAGAGTGCATTTCTATTGGAGTTCCACAAGGGTCAGTGTTGGGGCCACTGCTTTTCCTCATTTACATAAATGACTTGCCTGCTTCAATATCTAAGTCTTCAATCATACTCTACGCTGACAACACTACTTTAATCAGCAGACATAAAATCCTCATTGATGCTGTTGTAGTAAATCGAGCATCGCGCTCTGAGTCTGAGGAGTGGTTTGCGTGCAACGGCCTAAATCTGAATTCCAACAAAACAGCTGAAGTTGTCTTTACACTAAGAGGCGTTCAGCCAGATCTGTTGAGTGAACAATTCATAGATTTTATAGGTGTTCGCTTGGACCCCACATTGAACTGGGAGCAGCATGTAAGTATACTTTCCGGAAAGCTGAGCTATTATCATATTTTCTGTTGGTCTGGGGAAACTGCTCGGGTTAGTCTAGGGTTTTTCGGCTGCAACGACGTGCCATTCGTGTCATATGTGGTGAAGTATCGAGACGAGTGCCGTGAATTCTTTATACATCAGAAAATACTAACATTTCCCTCGCTGTTTATATTAGAGTGTCTGCTGTACTTGCACAACAATGGAGGTAAATATACTGCCCACAGAGATATACACAGCTACAGAACCCGTAACAATCATAAGCTAAAACCTACATTTTGCAGACTCCCTAAGTCACAGAAAGGTGTAGATTTTACTGCGCTCAAGTTTTACAATAAATTACCTTCAATGGTTATACTTTTACCTGTGAGCAAATTTGCAACATTGATAGAGCAATTTCTGCTGTTTAGTGGATTCTATTCTTATTCGGAGTTCCTTGAATATGAATTTTTTTAAAGGGTTTTTGTGGCAAATGATGATCAAAACGTTAATTTGGAAAATACTGTCGCAGATTATTCATACAGAAGTTATTCAAAGACAAATAAGTGGGAGAGACGAGAGACTAAAGGGAACTAATCCTTAAATTGGATATTCTGGAAACAGAGCCGGAGTCACAATTTATTCAGAATTAGAAATTTAATTCATCCACCAGCATTGGTGCACGATACACGTCTGTATAATGTTGTACGTTAATTCAATACCATAACTCCAGGGTCAATACGTTGAATGCAGCTTTTATAGGGTTTCTGTTATAACTGCTTAACCAATTTGTTGAATGATTTATGAACGGCCCAGATATTTTTTTGATAGATCGAGTACTGTTCGCGCCAACACTGACATACTGGTGCACTGACATGCGATTTGATGCTTTTCTATTCAGCTTTAGGAGATCGTGTAATTATAGGATGTGTATTTACGAACGAGGAAAGGCCAGACATTAACATCAAAGCCGGAATCCGACAGGGTGACAGCCTCATTTCACAACTGTTTAACATACTAATGGACAGTATAATCAAAGGCCTAGATGGAGTAAATTACGAATATATACTGGGAAGAACATCATTGCGAAAACGGAAGATGGAATGGCTTCTAAAAAGATCGCGATCAATAAATCGAAAGGCATGGTTATCGTAAAATCACCCATTAGATGCAAAGTTGTAACGCAAAAGCAAATCATTGAACAGATGTTCCAATTCGACTATCTCGGATTATAAATCAATGCATATGGGGGTCTAAAGGGCAGAGTTACAAAGCAAACCATAAAGGCAACAAGAATATCAGGTGCACTTTACAATGTAATATAAAAGAATATACATCTATCAATTGCAAAAAGAAGTCAGAATATACAAACCATGCCGACACAGCTAAGACAAACAGAAGCCTGAGAACAATCGAAATGAAAATGCTACGCACAATAACGGATATACTTCAATTGATCTTAAGAGAAACACAGAAATCAGAGAAAAGTGCAACATCCCGGACATCGTCAGATAATCCGGCAGAGACGACGAAAATGAAATAAACATGTATCATGAGTGAA